GCATTTAGACAGACGCCGAGCGTCGGGTGAGGCCAGACAAAATATTCTTCCCTTTTATGCTATAAAGACACTCTGTATCCGTAGCGTGCTATCTACTATTTACAGATGAAATAGTCGGATTTTGTGTTTTTGTTCATGCGCTTGGAAAGCTTTGAGTGTTTTGTGTTTTGCCGTGGGACTACAGCGGTATTCCCAGGACGTAGAAAAGTGCATATGAGATTGACCAAATGACTACGTTGATGATGTAACCCGTGGGTACACTTGAAATGAGAAGCCTGGTGATTTTCCAGAACATTCTAACCCAGTCCTCTTCCACCTCGCCCCTTCTCTTACCTCTCGTCTTCGCTTCACCGCTGGTCACGTGACCTCCTCTTAACCAGTCAGTGTGGAGCACGTCACTCCTCCTCTCCCACCCATCAAGCAATCAGTGTCGAGCTCTCGGCGGGGCTTTTATCCAGGCTTCACTTTTAAACTTCACGAAACTCCCAATTCGGCCAAAGAACGTTTCAGGTTAATAGGCAGTTTTAGAACAGCGTATATGCAAAAGCTTTGCGTGCGCAATAAATAGCGCCGTCGCCACTGCGCATGCGCCGAACGCTAACTGCGGTTTGCGCTTTGCGTGCGCTACTTTAGCGTGCACTATTTTTCGGAAATTGCGCGCGCACGCAAAGAGTCTTTGTTTTCCTCCACGGAGGATTTGTGATGAGAACTTTACTAAAGCCGGGACGAGCACGGTTAAAAAATGGCGGCTCCCATGGCTGCCGCCGCTTTGGAGGTGTCGTGAGCGCGACGTTGGAACCATCCTAGCGACTGCGATTTTTCACATCGGGCGACATTCCACTCGGAAGGTGCACGTCAGAAACGTTTTGGAAAATCCAGATAGGTGGGCGACGATCGCCGACTGCTTGCGACGCGCGAACGTTTCTCGGCGAAGGTACGGTCTGTGATGGTCAGTACATGAGAGCTCTCTTGCCGACGCGACGCAAGCGGACACGACCGCTTTCGTCGCATTCCAATATTTCAACAAATCTAAAATTTCACTCTTTGATACTCAAGTCAGAGCATTTCGTTCGTGAAATGAAAATGGTTCATGTATCTTGGTGGCCCCTGCAAGCGCGAGATGCTCGGGCCTTTGCGTCGCGGCGGTGGAGCTTTTAAGATTCTCTTGCATAGCTGGCGCTAACGCAAGCACTAAATTTAGCGCTAAAATTACGTACGTTATTCTACAAATTCAAAATATCAGACGCATGTCTCCGCAGAGCGCATAGCAGGTTTGGACAACGTCACGCTTAGGCAATCTAGCACAGTGACATCAGCTCCACGCCGAAGGAACGGGGAGGATGCTCGGGCGATGCAAACCATCTGAGGCTGACCAGCGGATAAATTTTCTTTTTAGGGTATTTTGTCGTTGACGATTTCATCATCAAGAATATAAACCAGCAAATTCATTTGAAGTGGTGTCTGGAGCGGAAACTGGCCAAATTAAAACGCTGAGGCTGGCGTCCCTCCCATTGGAGGGACGTGTGAAAGGCGGACCTGGCTGCTGACCATCGTGCGCACCAATCTGCCGATTTCTCCTTAGAGTAAATGCCGTACGCAAGAACGCACACCGCCTGTGAGTGCAGATTGGATGACCTCTATCGCCGCCGCGAGACCAATTTTCTTAGCTTAGTTGTTCATTTTCAGAATCCCATATTGGCTATAGGGTCGTAATTTCTCGACGCCTGGGATGAATTCATCGGGGATGTGACCTGCAGTGGGACACTGAGCAGACGCGTCATCCGCGATGTCTCAACTTAGCATTTTCTGGGCAAAATTGATTCGGGATTCGCAAAATGTGTTCTGCTGCTCTCGTGGATCGGCATTTGACTTTCTCCTAGGGAAAGGCATTGACATTTGCTTTGTAGCCTGCGGCCGTGCAGGCGCTCGCGGCCGATCAACGCCAAGCGTTATGCAATATCTCTGACGTCACAGTGATATCCAGAGATCTCGGAGACAAGGTGCCTGGAAAGCTCGGTTTCTTCAGTATTACGGGTTGCCCTGAAAGCAGACGTATTCGCGTATTTCAGAAAAGACGTAAAGTCAACATCTCTGTTGTTTTTGCACACATTAAAGAAGAAGGAAAGTCAGTATAAACCGTTAAGCAACGTGGCAAAATGCGGACAGGGCTATTCGCAGAAGAGGTGCACGAGCTGGCGCATTCATGGTGTTGAGCTTTGTCTGCCTCAAACGATTTATACAAACTACTCATTGTTTCAGAGAATAGAATCTACTCGCACCTGAAGGTACGCGCAGTGTAAATGGACCGGATTAGTCCGACAGTTACGGGCAGCGAGAACGTTTATTGCACGGGCGTTCGGCCACGCGGCATTAACTACTATCAAATTGCGCCATTAAAACCCGACCACTCCCTCTAAAGTTTGCTCGTGGTTATCTCCGCGTTCAAACTCCCGGGCAAGCGATATGACAAAGACCACGCCGCCGTTTCGGAAGAAACGCTCCGAAAACGACGGAAGAACAAACGCAAAGAGCAACGCTCGACAATCTGTCAGCAGCGTCCCGGAAAGCAGTTTAAGTTCTAATTCTCGGAACGTGTTCTTGGCTTTATTGTTACAAGGCAGGCCAAGAGGCACCCTTATGCTGATTCCTGGCACGCCTGGCTGGTCCGAAATTAGCGCCGGGAATTAGTGGACGGCTGCTGGAAGCGGAGCACGAAGGCCTGTTGAGGGTTAGCGGAGCGATTCGTTTTACGGCGTAATTGCGGTCGAGATGGCTCGCCTTTCGGTCCCCTTACACCTGGAGTGCGGCACAAAGATTGCTCGCAACGCCTCCGACTAAATGCGCCCTTGTTTAGCATTCGTACTCAACACGCCCCGAAACGAGCCCTCCAGTGATCCCGTAATTTTCCTGCAACTGTCGTAGAGATTTGTGTTTAGAACCGGCTGGGGTAACCGGAAACCTGATACGCTTCAGGAAGCGCTCTTGTACTAAGGTGTCCGGAACGCGTGACTGACTGGCACGTTCACCGTGTCCTGATCTATAGTCCCTCCATATATGCACCCGTTGACACTACATTTATGTCTCGCTGTTTTTTTTGTGTGTTTTTTTTGGCGCGATCTTGGCAGGCGCAGAGAATTGGAGGTGGACACGGCGGACGCATGTCCTGATGTGTGGTCACTCTCCGGCTTGACGGTTCACGGACTATCAAACAGCTGGGAGTTGAGAAGCCGCAAGCGGCACTTGTGTTTGCGCGTCCTTTTTCCGGAGCTTTGTCGAAACCACTGGTTTAGTGAGTGCCGTCGTCACGCGCCGCGACCTTAACATTCCCCGCGCATACTTTCGCGTTGACTTTTTATCGTAAGCGAAGTCCCTTTCGCAAGGCCGGGAGCGTCCTTGGTCAGCTTGCAGAGGTGCTGGCCAGAACTGATCAACATACGGGCAACCTGGTGCTCAAGTCTAGACACTCGTCGAAAAAAGTCGAAAGGGGTATTCGACCGCCGGGATTGGCCGGTGCCAAGGTCAACGCGGCGCTGACCAATCGCGGCAGCCGGATACGCCGCCGACTTGTTCGCCAAGTGTCCAGAGTAGAGCTCTGGACGAACGTTCCCTAAAACCAGGGTGCCCGCAACTTCTGCGACCAGCCGCCAGGGTCTTGTGGAACGAAGGCTGCTACGTAAGCGACATGCTGTCGGATGCGTCTGGGCTAGGCTGGGGTGCCTCAATATCCTTCCGTTTAGGGTAATGACGTTCTTTGTAGTGCACCCGATACCAACAGCACGCGGTCACGAGGAAATTCGCTAATAAGAATCGGTGTGCCACGTGACGTGACACACCGATTCTTTCTCCCTATTCATCTCTCCTCCCTCTCGTCTCCCACCTTCTCCCAAGCCCCCTCCTTACACTCCCTCAGTGTCCTCTCGCCTTCAACGTCTGCCTCTCTTACCCTGCCTCCCTCCCGCATTCCCTCCAGGTTCAATCTCTCCCCGTCCCTCTCCCTATCCCCCTTCCTATAGGGCCCTTCTTTCCCCTTCCTCGCCATCCGCCTTATTGAACTTTAAAGGTAAAGGTCGCGGCCAATCTTTTTAAATTTTATTCTTTAAGTAAGCCGTGAGGCGCCGTCAAATCACTAAATACTAACTTATTATAAAGAAGGGAGCGCGTTGGAGATGAAATGCAAAAGACACGAAAGAGGATACACTTAAGGCTGGTTCTCACATACAGCGAAGCGCTAATGTAGCGCTGCTCACGTGTCCTCAGCTACTTATTGTCTGCCATAAGCAACAGTTTTGACGGTACGATACAAAGCTGGTGAACGCTCCCGTCAGCACGCGCTTAGTGCGAGGGCAGCGCTATGCTTGCAGCGCTCTGCTGCATGCGTGAACAGGCCTTTACAGGGACAAAGGACAACACGCACAGCTCTTTCATATAGCAACGTACATGTATTTATGCCCCCTTCACATGGGGCGGCTCATCCTGGTCTATGAAGCGAGGAAGATGAAGAAGCATCTTTAAAACGTGCTTCTTCTGCTTCATTTTCTTTTCTTCATAGGCCAGGAGGAGTCGCTTCTGTGAAGTGGGCCTCTATTCGCGGTGAGAAGTTTGCGTATCGCCACCTGGTTGGTTTGATTCACAAGCCAGAGTGAGGAAACTTCAACTTCATCTGCTGGTGCAAGCACGTGTAATGCCAAGCTTCTATGCACTAGGAAAATTAAAACATAACCGCGTGAGTTGCACGTGCACCACCCATAATGAGGAAAACAGAAGTGCCCGTAGAGAGCTTCTCACCGCGCGCATACATGTCCCTTGCTATTTGAAAGAGCTTCGTGTTGTTCTTTGTCCCTGTAGGTGCATCCTCTTTCGTGTCTTCTGTACTAACTTACGTTTTAGTGATCCGTATATTTAGTGGTGGTCTCAGGGGATAGCGCTCGAAATCACTGTTCAAGTGCTGCGCAGCGAGAGAAGAGTCACACGAGTCAATCTGTGTTTTTTATCACTTTCAGGGAGGAGTTGGCGATGCGAGTGGACTTGACGGAAGCTAGAGTACAGGTAAGTTCATATGTTGCACGAATGGCGACTCCTTCTGTCGGTCATTTTTACCCCAACCAGTAGTCATTGTTATCAAATATTGGACACAGTTGTTTATTTTCTGTTGTTTTATCGTTGTTGTTCTTCTAGGGGGGGGGGGGGGGATTAGTAAATCGCTGTGCTTTGCTTTTGAAACCATTTGTTATGTTCAGTTATTTCGCTTAAAGAAGTTTCACGCCTGAAACGGATAGAAGGCGCTAAAAGAAACCTAAATGCTGAGGCCTGCGCAAGTACCTGGATACTTCCTTTTTCAAGTAACGTCGATAAACACGCACGACGAAGCCCAGTCCCCGGGAAGCAAACGGCGTCCCTCCGTTTAAGCTGGTGCTGTCGCCGCCATTCGCTTCCTAAAACCTGCATCATCCAGCAGTCGGCGCTTCAAAGAATGTTTGTAGGAAGCGTCAAGGGCGCCTTTTCAACTAGGATCTTCATCCCGTGCTTGCGACCTACACCGACAAAGTGCAAGCTAGGAGTAAATTGATTCGTCCTCTGTCAAAGACAACAATTTTGACTGCACGTAAGAGTGGAGCACCAGCTATACAAGTCGGCCTACATGAGAGCAGTTGATAAGAATAAGGTCTTTTGAGGTTCCGTATACGAAAAACAACATTTCTCCGGCAGCAAGCCTTTTTACGAAACAATATGAGGCGGGAAAAGAGAATGAATGCTAATGATTAAAACTACAGAGAATGTTTTATGTTTTTCTCGTTTCTTTTCTCCGTCTCAAGAATTGCATTATGCAAGTGCCGTGCCAGCTCGCTCACAAGCATTATCTACTCGCCATTTATCGTTCCGTTTTTGGGACATTCGCTTTATTTCTGTATACACCAACAGGCGGCCCTGACGTCACGCCGGTTGGCAGGGCGCATGTGCGGCCGCCCCACGCGGATCAGGCACCTGCGCACGCACACTGGCCACACCTTTTGCGGGATAGTGCGCCTTTGGAAACATCGCGTTAGCCTATATACCCTTTCCTTCGCAAACGCCACCAGGCGGTGCTCCAGTCCTTGATATCCCAGCGAATAAAGGTAACGAACAAAGCCGCGACCTTGACACCGCTGCTTGAAACTTCGATGAAACATTTGACGACCGATTATCCAGGTGAACACCGAAAGAAAAAAAAAAAAAGCGCGATATCTGTTCAAATATTTGGAATATTCTCGTAAACCAACTTGGCTCCTTCATGACGTTAAATCGTACGGCCGAAGGGCCTCGCTAAATTTCCAACTTCGTTGTCCATGAGGCCTTTGTGCTTTCTCGCACAGGTGACAAAGCTTGAAAGGCTCGAAAAGACGGAGCGACCGGAAGTCGATTGGGACGCAAGCGGCGGTTCATTCTTGTAAACAGTAAAATAATCTATAGCACGTAAGTATAAGGTATAGATGACCTGCCTGAAGTTGAACATGATGAATTCAGACTTGGGAGGACGAAAGAGTGTGCAAGGAACAAAGTGGTCAGCACCGAGCTGCTTCTTTCCGTGTAGCTCTACCTTGCCCCATCCTCAGGGATATTGTCATCATATCTTCCGCTTTGTTCGTTTTACCTGAGGTCATCGGCTACCATAATAAGGGAATAAGCATCGCCGGTGCCCTGATATGCCAAACTTTCGGGGTACTCGTGAAAGCATGCTTAAGATTGCAACGCTCTGCGAATAGTGGTCAGAACCGCTGCATTGATGAACCCCGCAATGCAAAGGAAAGCAGCGACTGTAGATTTTCTTAACCGAGGTAAGGCTAGGAACGACACGGCGCTGTTTCAATCGGACTCCCACAAATGAGACCATATGCGAAATGTAGAGCGCCATCTAGTAGCGCGCCGAGAACTACGTCGGCCAGCTTGGTAGCGGCGAGAAAACGAAACCAGTGACCCGACCGGCAAAGACTCCATGTAAACAGGCGACCGCGCTTTGTGCGAGAGGTGCGATGCCAACGCGTTGTTGCTTTCCAGTGCGGATTCAGCATAGACGTTCGATTCGTACGCGACGTGAACGCAAACAATTTTTTTTCTTCTTCTTCTTCTTCAATATGTGTTAAAAATAATAAATGGAGACGTTAGTCATTCTAAAGCGTGACCGGCTACTCCATTACCATTGAAGAGAATATTTCCGACATAGAAATTAAACACTTCAAACATATAGATGCAGCTATACACCTCAATGTCTCCCCCCCCCCCCCCCACACACACACACACACCTTTCCCCTACCTATAACGGAACATAATAAAAAACCGTCTAAAGCTGAAGCCACACCGCCCACAGACCCCACAGCAATCAGCCCGCAGACACCGCCCAAGCATCGCCCGCCCCGCACACGACGGCCCGCCAGTCTACCCATACAAGATATAAGTCACATAACCTCCGGAAGCATAACTCCGCTTGAGCGACGCGACTGGACCGTCGTGCAGAGAGTCAGAGCGTCCCAAGCGTCACCCGGGGGCCGCGCCCCGCAAGGCCCGCGGGTGCGACTCCACCTTCACACTGACAATGATCCTTAAATAATAACACGCACTAGTTCTACACACCAACACGTACACGCATACATAGACACATACGATGAGAACAGTTAATGAACCGCACTTATGTTCTTGGTATGAAGTGTCACCTCGAGTCTTACCAATTGTCACCAGATTGTTCACACATACACACACATTGCTATATTCATGCATTTTACAACAAGGTTCAATATTATCAACTCAAAAGCTAGTATTTGTCGATGATATCACTGTCTTCCAGAAACATTTTTATTGCCAGGAGAGCCTGTTTCTGCATGATTTGATTGGGCCATGGCCCCAGTAATTTATTTATGGTGAAAGGCCTTTTATCCAGGATATCAAACCGTACTTTTAGTTGTGACCGATTGCGATCGAAGCGAGGGCAGTTAAAAATAGGTGTTCAATAGTTTCCACATCCTGACCGCAAGAACATTTCGGGTCCTCAATTTCATTAATTTTGTAGCGAAATTCTCTCGTGAAAGCCACGTTCAGTCGCAGGCGGTGAAGCATGGTTTCAAATTTTCTCGGTATATCGCTTGGGATATAAAACCGTAATTCTGGATCCACCACGAAGAGAGTAGACTGCCGTCCTGCCTCATTAAACCATATGTCGACTGCCATTTCTTTGGAGTGGTGTGCAATTAAATACTTTATGTCTGTTTTCGAAAAAGGAATTCCTCGAATTCTTTCTAAAGCGTGTGCACTTGTTGCTATTTTGTCTGCCTCCATGTTTCCTGAGATTCCGCTATGGCCTGGAATCCACTGCAGCTTTAATGAATGACCATTACTTATGGCCCGATCGATCATATCAGATACCTGGTAGACCAATGCATATGCCGGACTTCTAGAGTTTATTGACGAAAGAGCACCGAGGGCTGCCTTGGAGTCCGTGCAGATAACCCACTGGTTTTTCGGCTCTACGTCCTTTATATACTCCACTGACGCAAAAATTGCATAAAGCTCTGCAGCAGTAGAGGACGTTCTGTGGGACAAACGAATACGTTTCTTCACTTGCATTGATGGAATTACGAAAGCTGAGGTTGAGCCATCATTTGTCGTAGAGCCATCTGTGTATACATGAATGTGGTCTCTGTAGTGATCATGCAAGTATGCCAACGCCGACTGAGCAATCACAAAATGAGATGTGCTCAGGCTTTTCTTAAGGTTGGGTAATTCCGTGTTAATATCTGCGATGCGAAACATCCAGGGTGGTCGATCTATAGTCGGAACCCACGGTGTGTAATCCGGCACGATTACGCTCGACGATATAAGTGTCGAGGAAATATGTGAGCCCGTCCTAGTTATCAAATTCTCCGCAAGTGGGTGACAGTTCTGAATGGACAAGCGTAGGAAATGACGTAAGGTCTCATGTTCGCGTAAAGTTTGAAGAGGTAGCTGTTTTGTTTCTGCTAAAACCAGTGTTCCGCGAGTTGGACGCGGGACGCCCAAGCAGATCCGAAGACTACGGGCGATCATGTAATGCAGTCTGTTTTCTTGTGTTGCAGATAATCCATGGAGTGCTGGGAGTGAATATGTAATAAGTTGCCGAACAATCGCAGAATGCAGCATTATGATGGATTTCGTTGAGGCTCCCCAACGAACTCCAGTAAAATAACGTAGAATGTTGATTGTTTTGTTTACTTTTGCCTCCAGCATATCGATGTGTTTTACCCAAGTGAGGCTTTGATCTAGAATCACTCCAAGAAAGCGATGATGCGAGACGCGTTCTAAAGTTTGACCCTGTATTTTTAGCTCGAATCCACGAAGGTGCTTCCTCGTGAACGGAAGCATTACTGATTTTGAAGGCGCAATATCCATACCCCGTTCACTTAAGAACTCGTTTAAGAGCTTCAGTCCCGCTTGAAGCTGATCCTGTAAAGTCTTTAGACAAGTGCCTGAGGCCCAGATGCAAATGTCATCTGCATATATCGCCACATGGAGTGGTGAAGGGAGGCGACCTGGAAGCAAAGCCATGACCGTATTAAATAGAGTAGGGCTTAGTACGCTCCCTTGAGGTACGCCGTGTCGGAGAGTTTGACTCGTGCTATCTCCATCTGCGGTCTTTACAAACATTGTCCGTTTTGAAAGGAAGTTTTTTATCCACCGTACGACTCGTCCTCGAATTCCAAGATGTATAAGACTATATAGAATGTGGATTTGACTTACTGTATCGTATGCGCGCTTGATATCTAAAAATACAGCTATTGTGATTTTTCCGAGCGTACGTTCATGTTCTATGTACGTTACCAAATCTAAAACGCAATCCATCGTGCAGCGTTTGGGACGGAACCCTGCTAGTTCTTCCGGTAACACTTCACTCGTTTCTAGCCACCATTGTAGTCGTTGATTAATTAGCTTTTCGAAAAGCTTACCTAAGCAGCTTGTAAGGCTGATTGGTCGAAAGGAGGCTAGGTCCATGGGTGTTTTTCCCGCTTTCAAAAGCGGTATGACCTTAGCGACTTTCCATTGGG